TAAACAAGATCGGGTGCAACTTTAGTGCTTTTCCTTTTGTTAAAAAAACAATTATTCCTAGCACCAGCCTTGTGAAGCTCCTCGCCCGGGCTCTGGTTGTGTTTGAATGGGAAGTGTTAGCCAAGTTGAACTTTTCCCTCTTCTGTCATGAACAGAAGGGCGCTGGAGCCGGACAGCGGCTGGCGATTGAGCCGACAGGGTGGGGAGTGTGAAATGTGCCCCTTTCCATAACTTGGGTGGCACACGCCCTCCTAACAGCTGCTTTCACGTGGGGAACTGGTGTGTTGCCCTGCGCTCCTCGCGCAGCCCAGGCTTGGCTGGCGCAGGGAATGCAGCGCGGAACGAGATCTCCCTGCCTGTGCTGGCCGCAGGGGACACGACTAAGGGGGGTCGTGAGAGCGGCTAAACACACCTAACACGGGTATTCCTCTTCCAGCCACGTCTTCTCGCCCGCAGAGCGGGCGCTGCCAGGGACGCGTCCTGCGAGTTGAACCCCTGAGCTCTTAGTTGTGTGGCTCAGGGATCAAACAGTTCTGCGCCCGCCACCTAATCCCGTCCCTCCCTGGTTCCCGGTTTGTTAGTTTCTGGAGGGGGGAGCTGGTGAACCCCTCCCAGCAATGGGCCCCACCCTGGCTAGCTGAGCCACCCGAGGCTAGGATCGCTCTTTACCAGTTACCCGCTCAACATTGCCACACTCGCAGATATAAACTGGGGAAAGAAGCATTTCGCCCAGAGCCTGGCTCAGTCGGGCGCTAGATACATGGCATCGTTCATCACCCGGACTCCTTTACTCAGCTCAGAATCTGCTCTCGGGCAGCCTTTCTCTGGGCTGGGCGGGGGGGTGTTGTGTGTGTCTCGGGCAGCCTTTCTCCGGGTGTGTGAGTGTGTGTAGCCTGTGCGAAGCTGTGCGGAAAGACCGGGCCTAGCCCCGGCGTGTTTTGCACCAGAGCTGGCTGAGCTGCTGCGGTTCCCTGCACGTGCGGAGCCAGCTCGTCCCATTGCACGGGGCAAAAGACAGCCGGGCTCGTTCCCCGCCCGCGCCCTGCGGCTTCGCCCGGCTTTGCAGGAGAGTGACGAGGAAAAAAGGCTGTTGGCCCCCTCTACTGTCCGCTCCGCATTGCTGCAGGGGGGAAGGCGGTGCAGCGCCACCGCCTTCCCCGGGGTTTATTTGCTGTTTGATTTTGCATTACGGGTTTGGCTTGGATTGCGCAATAAACCGTAGGCAGCTCAGAGACTCAAGGAACAAGCCTTCAGCTCGCTTCCTCTTTGCTGTTAAAGGCAGGGCTTGTCCCTCCTGTTACCACAGTACAGCTTTTAGCAATGGTTTTTATTAACCAACGTGCCTGCTCCCCCACTTCCCCTCAGTCATTGGGGGACCAGCTGTTGTTGCTTGCCCTCATCCCTGTTCGGAACTGCTGTCTAGCCTTGCACCATACCCCATATATCCCTGTGTGGGAGCAACTGCAGGGCCCTCCCTTGCAGCTGAGGCCAGGACTGGGGTGGAGGGTAAGGAAATAGCCCTTGATGTGACACAGAGAGAGAAGGGGTGGAAGGAGCAGCTTCAGGAAGGAAGGAGAGGACAACTTTGTGGCCTCTAGGCCCATGGGGCATCTCCTGGGAAGGATAAGGAGGCAGAGGCAGGGTGGTTATCTCAAAGGAGTGCTGGCTCTGGCATGGCCCAGAGATGTAATTTCATTAAATCATTAGCACAGTTTTAGGTCTCGGCTTGTTTAAATACCGCTGATGGCAAGGAGGGTATGGGCCAAACAGTGTCTGCCAAGTGGCTATGTTAGCTCATGTTGGCCTTGTCTATACTTGTCATTTTCCCCTCAAAATGTCACATCTTTGCTACCAATTCAGCTCCCCCAGCCCTATCAGCAGGAGGCGCACTAGTGTAGAAAAAGCACCAGCAGAAGCCAGCCTTGGTAACCCCTGTTTTATTTAGCTCACAAGGGTGTGAAATTTCAGGGGGGCAAGGCTAGCCAGGACATAGCCATGAGAGAGGCAGCCGGGGCTGGGCCCAGAGCTGCTCTACAGCACCCTCTGCCAGGAGTGATTCGTATTTGGCAAAGGGCAACTGCTTAAAAAAATCAGAAGAAAAACCAAACTAAACCCATGCCATCAATGTCCACAGTGAAATGCTACGAACAGAAATCCCACTACTTCCATTTTGACCAGGGGCAGTCTAACAGCATGGCTTACCTTCGTGTCCTGAAATAAGCAGGACTTGTAAAGGAAAATACCCTGGATGCAGGGTGGCCAGTGCTGTGCTCCCTGTTTGAAAATTGGAGAGCTGTGTTTTAGAAGTGACTGGATCACCTATCCCACCATAGTGGTGCAGAGAGAACTGTATTTTTTGGCTGGGTCTATGACTTTAGCTGTGACTATGGCACTACCAGAGTGGTCATTCAGGGGCAGATCCTGAGAGGGAGAGGCAGAAGGGGACTATAATAGTAGTTTTGAGAGAAAGGGTAGAGGCCCCTAGCTGTTGCTAGACTGGGGGTGAGTCACTGGGCTCTCAGGGGTGAAAGGACAGTTGGAACAAACTCTGCTGTGGTAAAAAAAAAAGAAAGTGAATGCTTGTGCAAGCTGTAGTTTGCTGGGCCCACAATGTTACTCAAACCTCCTTTATCTTGGGACTGTGTAACAGCAGTAGGGCATGGTGGGAACACAGGTAGTGCCATTCACCCCTGAATTGCCATATCCCCTTGCTGGCTGAATATTTTGTGACTGAAATAGCATGATTTGTGCCTTTTTAAAACGTGATTTGCAGGCATATCTATGGTGGCCATTTGCCAAAGACTGCAATTGTCCTGGCCTCCCCTGTGAAAGAGATTCTAGAGAGACAAGGTGGGTGAGGTAATAGCTTTTATTGGACCAGCTTCTGTTGTGCACATGTTAAAAGCTCAGGAATATGATGGACATTGAAATTGTATAAATCTGAAAGGACCCTAGAGGGAGGAAGGAAGAAGTGACAGATTAAAGTGGGGGAGGCAGGATAGCCTTGCAAAATTGTGTTTGTCCAGACTGTGTATTTTGGGGGGAGTGGGTGCAAATATCATTACACATTTCAATATAGTCAGTCATCGTGATAAAGTTCAAGTGATTATATTTGGTGCCTGGGAGAGTAATTTTTCAAGGCAAGGCTGATTATGTACAGTTAACCCTGCCCTAATCGACATCCCAGGAACCCACCAATCATCAATTGCCTAGGAGAGGTGGCTTTTAAATGTAGTTCATACAAAACTACAGTGAAACCGGGGGGGGGGGCTTCTGAAGGGCTGGCTTAGGCTAGGGTTTGCTTGTCAGCTGCCATTCTTGGTGCTGGTGTCCTTTAGCATTAGCAAACCACAGGCAGGGAGCTGAGTGCATTATGCACAGGGCTGCTGCTGCCGCTGCCCCCGCAGTCGGTGTTTGCGGTGGGGTCTGAGGAGCACCAGCAGCCGCACATGGTCTCTGCCTCTGTGTGTGTTTTGTGGTGGCCGCGGCATCCCATTGACACTTGGGCTCTTTACAGTAGCTCCGGCGGCAGCGCCCGGGCCAATTCCAGGAGCCCCCGGACTGGAGCCGCGCCCTGGCTGATACCGGAAAGGGATCTGATTGGCCGGCGTCTTCCCCATATGCAAAAGAGCTGAGGGAATGACATTCCTCCGCACTCTTACTGTAAAAGCAAATTCATTTCCAGTCAATCTCCATTCATAGAGCCAGAAGGGCGCAAGGGAGGCGGGAGGACCAGGCTTTCCAGATCAGCATGAGCAAACAAACAGCTCCTCACAGAAGGTCATAAAGCTGTGTAGCCTGTGTTCAGTAGGCAGCCATGAAGAAGCTTTCCCTGTGAACACGTGAAGACTCTCAAGATCTCTCAGCTTTGGAAATGGGCTTTTTTCAGAGCTGTCTTCTGGGCTGGATATTTTAACTTCTACCGAGTCTGTGAACTTTTGTCATTGTCCTGTGTGTATGTGTGTGAGTGCTACAGCTCCTCTCTCTTTTCGGAAGGGACGCTCGCGGTCCTTTGCAAGCAGACATTAGTTTTTGCTTGCCAGCTTTCAGTATCGATCTCGTTGAGGCGAAAAGAGAAAAAAGCGTGTCTCCGAAAGCAGAGTTCCACCTGCTGTGGTTAAAATATTGTCAAGCAGCTGGCTGCTGTGGCCGAATTAGAGGAAGATTGTCTCAGAGATTGCAAAAAAAAAAAAAAAAAAAAGTTGGCAGTGACTCACCAAACTGCTGCAGACTGTTGGTTGACTTCTGAAGAGTGTGTGTGTGAGAGAGAGCGCGCGAGAGCTGTTGCACACACCAAACCACAGGGAGAACCCACAATTTAACCAACATCCCCAAACCCACGTTTTCATGTGTGGACTTTTTAGCCTCAGAGCTTGAGATCGGCTGCGACCTTTCTAAGATTTAGGAGAGACTTTGTGCCAAAGGCATTTATATCTATATTGAATTCCATGCACTGAACATTTTTTTCAAAATTACTGACAGATCATGACACGAGTACTTCTAGAGCAACGCAAGTCGAACTACTTTAAAAACAAAAAACCCTGCAGAGACCATTAATGGATTTCTGTTGTGTTTAAATTCTCTGCAGATTATACTGTAAATATTTGATGAAGTACAGTATATGTGTGTGTCTGTGTATATATACATTGTTATAGTCAGCTGACCTTTGAAAATCCTAGCTCGCGCATTGTAGTCTTTGAAGCCTGAAGCCGATTTTCGCCATTTTAGAGAGCGGCTGTTGTCTATGGAAGATACTGATGTATTTTGTATTCTATTGGGACTTTAGAAAAATCACCTGGAAGAAACTGATAGGGAATTAACTCCTGGGAAGCCCCAGGTTTTGCTTGTGTGTCTGAACGTGTGTCTTGGCTTTCCCCTGCCTAAATATTTCCCCGGTGTGCGGGATTTTTGGAGGGAGCTTTGCCTCTAATAACTCTTGTACCAGCCAAAGACTAAATGTGCAGCCTGCACAGTACACCCCCGTGCGGAAGATTGTTTCGATTATTGGATTAACTCTTCTGTTTCGCAGGCCCAGGAAGCCAAAGAGTTAAAGCTCAGTTTATTCGCTGCCTCAAACTGTTCAGCAAAATTAACTTTGGGCCAGGCATAGAAACGACTCACCCCACCCCCGAGTGCTAAGCCTGTATCCGTTTATGTTGGTCTCCAGAGGGCTGATCGCTGAAGAGTTACACTCGTGTCGCTGCTTTGTAAGAACTCTTGGGAGATTTTTCACTCAACAGGCTTGTTGTGATGCGTATCCCCGTAGATACCAGCACCAGCCGCCGCTTCACGCCGCCCTCCACCACTTTGAGCCCGGGGAAGATGAGCGAGGCGCTCCCGCTGGCTGGCCAGGAGAACAGCGGCGCCCTGGTGGGGAAGCTGAGAACTGCAGACCGCAGCATGGTGGAGGTGCTAGCGGATCACCCCGGGGAGCTGGTCCGCACTGACAGCCCCAACTTCCTCTGCTCCGTGCTCCCGACGCACTGGAGGTGCAACAAGACGCTGCCGATTGCTTTCAAGGTATTTGGCCTTTCAACACTTCTCTGAGGGAGGCATTAAACCGGAGGGGGAGGGGGGGATTGGGACAACGTACAAACTCCTCTGGTGTGCACACGGTCAGACTAGAAACGCAGCGTGTATCTCATGTAACTCCTTCCCGGAGCGGGGGCTGTTAATCTGGAGTTTGGAGATGTGTTTTAGGCGTAGTCCCACATAAGGAGGCCGGAGTTGCTGTAGGGACCGGCTCTGGGTATCCTGATTCACTGTGTTGCCCTTTATGCAATGTGGTGCACGCCGGTGAGTATAGCGGGCCCTCCTATTTAACAGTATTAGTGTATTGATTTGCTAACATGAGTCACTGGGAGAAAGGAAGCGTGGGGGCAGGACACTAGCTTTGGAGACTCTCTCTCCAACCGGTCTGTCTCTTCATCTCATTCATAAACATACCATTAAGGAGTGGTTCTATAACAAGCAAAGAACAAGGAGCTGAGTGTGTCTCCCTACCTTGTGTAACAGGATGCAACACAATCAATCACAGGGTGGATACAAGTATCAATAGCCTAAAATGACCCTTTCTGGACGGTAGTGTGTTTTGTACATAGAAGTAACCCACGACAATGGGAACATGGCACTTCTAAAAATCGGAGTTTGGGGTACTTCTGGATGAATATGTTTGTAAGACCATAAAGTACTACAGGCCACAATGTTCAAAGTTCTGTGTAAAGTTTCGCACTTACACTGTGTTGAAGGCGCCTAAATAATGGAAACTAAGAGGTGCTAAGCCCCCATTTGTGTAGAGTGGCAGGTGTTCATCCCTTTTAAAAGTCAGCTCTTTTTTATTTTGGTACCCAGTTTAGGCAGCGGTTTATTCTGAGCACATAGTGAGTTGGAAAATAATTCGTTTGTTGTTAAATATATCAATGTTTTTCCCGATTATTTTTTAAATCCAGCCCACCTTTGGCAGCTCCATCTATGAAAGGTGCTGGCTTTTCTCCTGATGGAAGTCACTAAAACTTCAAAGGTTCGAAACACTCGCGTAAGGCCACTTATTTATGAATGCTGCAGTTCTTGCACAAAAAGGATGCATGATCTCGCGGTTTCATAGACCATCAACTTTCCACCGAGGGTGGTGGTTTAAAATGAACCGAGAAGAGAGAGAAGTTTAGAAGCTCTTTTTCCCTTTTGATTTTGTTCATACTTGAAGTTGCTGTAGTACACTTACCCAGCCTGTCTGAAAACGTATGACCTTTTTCTTAAAACAAAAACAAAGAAACAAAAACCCACAAGTGTAAAACTTTAGCAGGACCCCATCTAAGAGATATGCTTGTTCTATATGCTGATATCGACCCCACTGAAGTTTTGTGTCTGCCTCCCTGGATAATCAGTACAATGTGTCTTTACAATCAAGAAGAGTAAAGAATGTAGATTACATTTAGAATATAATTGCTACAGCTTTTCTTGTCTACGTGCTCCGATTTCCTCTTATTTGGATTCAAATATTCAGTCCCCCTTACCCGCTTTTTTTAAAAAAAGACTTTGGCCTATAAATAATTTGTTTATAATGCTGAACTCCCTCCCATTGATTTATGTTTCCAACCATGAAAAAAACAACAACACGTTTTTAATTGTCCCCAAGGATGAGCCCCTGTTACTCCCCTAAAGCCTTTAATGGCGTTAAATGGTTACATTTAAGATCGGGAGTAGGACAGAATCAGCCTGTTCCTTTCACACGGGACAGGGTTCTTTCCACCAAGTTCACCGCTGCCAAACCAGATCAGAGCAGTATCCATTTGATTACGTGGGGTAATCAGTTGAGCTCTTAAAGCCTTAATACGTATCAGAACAGGGCTTTTAGGATAAGCACAAGTGTTTATTTTGCCTCCCGAGGGTTTTGTTTAGGAAGAGAGGGGAGAGGTGGGAGAAAGGAAGATCAAGTCGGAATGATCAGTTCCGAAAACCAAGATCCCCCTTCACACGACACAAGTTGATGAATTTTTATACCATTAACCATACTAACCTGTACACAGCTGCAGGTGAGTAGCTGGGACACTATAACACTACAAGGCAAAGTTATTGCTTTAAAATAGACTGGGGGAAAAAAACCTATGGGTCCCTAAGGGAGCTAGAGAAGCGAAGTCTCGAAATCTGGCTGATACTTTTGAATTCACTTCTTCTATTTCAATGCGCTCTTTGTCGCAGGCTGCAGAGCAGCTGGGGGCTGCCCAGCGTGGCGCGTTTGAAACCGTTTCCTCCTACCCTGTATTGGAAGGCGAATGAGTCAATAATGTGATTAATACCCAACGCCTGCCCCGCTCCTTCTAAACGTAGACGGAGCACGCAGTGTTTCCACCCAGCCACCTTTTCTCCCCTAGCGCCTCCGAAATGTTGCTGTCTGGTCCCTACTGGAGCTGAGAGCTCAGCAGCTAAAAGGGTTCAGTTCCGCACTCCTGTTTCTGAGCGGATCGTTTGTAATGACATGTTTGAATGGAGAGCGAGCTTTTCTCAGCCAGGTGAATGGCCAGGCTAGGAGGAGGAGAAGGGAGGGTGGATTGATGGGGTTACCTGCCCTCAGCTTCTTTACTGTTAGGAACTCGCGCGTTATGTTTTAAATAACTACCCCCCTCCCCGCTACTTTTGCAAACGAGGAAGGGGAGTCAAACGCTCTAACCTGACAAGATTATTCATTTCTAGCATTAAACCACACACACATACAAGCAAAGGTACAGCGTTTCCTGGTGAACCTCTGAAATCCTATGGTATGAGTCCACCTGCTTTCTGACTAGGTCTGTAGCTCCGCTCCCCGGCCCCCTGCTCACCATCACCAAAACTCCCCGGCTAGTGGGAACTGCAGGGGAATGAGACCTGACGTATTTGACTAATTATAAAAACAAACGCAATCTAATTGTAAATATTACTGTGTGTTTTCCAAATCGTCCCTTTTGAAAGTATTCCGATCCATTTGAAAATAATCTATATCGTGCGAAAACTGGGTAACACATAATACCTAGTTGCACAGAGTTCGGTTCAAATCATCTATATACTGCCAAGATCCTATGCTCAAATATAGGAGTGGGATTTTTAGGGAACTTGGTAATATTCATTGTACCAATAAAAACCAAGCGATTTCTACAGATTGATATGCTCTCTTTCCCCCTGTTCTTACACTCCACACAATAAAATAAAAAAAAATAATAATAATCACTTCTTGCATATAGTCTTTAGAATCAGAATTCCATTTTAAACCAAAAACATCCAGGATTTTCTTTGAAAATAAAGGAAAGTTAACAAGGAATTTAAATATTGTAAATTGCAATGATTGATGCAGTTTAATAACAAATTGTAATATAGGTTAATTATTCAATATACTGTTAGGAAATCATCTAAATCCTAATTTAAAAGACCAATTTTGTTTGGTTGGTGGACCAAGACTGGGAGGTGTGCTGTGGCATGGGTTTGCTGATATTCTGCCCAGCTCTCTGAAGATATATTTTTAAAAGCTGAACAGTATAACAAAATACTAGATATCTCCAGTCAGCAAGTTCCTACTTATCTGTTTAGTCTGTTTTATAATGTAAATGTTTGTATTTCGTCAGTGCCTATCGTTTACGACTTTTCATTCCAGTTTTTCTTTTTTCTTGTGTGTATGCACACGTTTTTATACTATTTTTATAGTAGTTTCTTCAAATAGCTTATCATAGAAGTTGTCTTTGGTGAATTGTAAATATGGTGAATTTTAAACATATTCTTTTTCAATTTAAGGGCATTATCTCAGTAATTCATGAAGGTTTGTTCTCCACTTAATATACGCATGCAAAATTCCTTAAATAATCACACAAATACTCATGTAAAACAGGGTTTTCCTAGATGTTCTTCCTTATACCTGAAGTCTTTAATACATGTAGAATAATTATTTTATTACAGGCTTTTTAAAAAATAACTTGATAAGCACATCAGGTTCATGATTGTGGATTTTGAGAGCCAAATTGCCACATCACACAACAGTCTGGAGAGAGAAAACATTGCATGCTAAGAACAGGAGGATTTGAAATACATAGTGCTGATAATACAGCATTTTTGCTGTGTACAGATGAAATCAAAAAACAAAAGCATGGGCTGTTGAGGAGGGCTGGGGAAGAGGAAGTAGAAATATATGCACAAAGAGGGAATTTTGACACAATGAGCACAACTCTATATGTGGAATCAAGAATAAGGGTTTAGAACACATCGGAGAACATTAAGGTGCAGAGTGTAGCCTATGTAAGAGAAGGAGAGATCAGAGACTTTTGAAATGTTATGGGAATTATTATGAGTAAGAAATAAGTATAATAAAAGGAATAGGTAAAGGAGCTGTGGACCTGTTTAGAAATATCAGTGTGATGTGAGAGAAACACACAAACTGGGTTGTGAAAAGTAATGAGACATTTTAACTACATGAACATGAACTAGAAAATGCTAAGAGGAAGGGGAAAAAATCAAGCAGTACCTCTGAGGACACGAAGCAGGACTGCTTACTTCCTCTTAAAATCTATAAAAGAGGAAACTAAAAAGGGCTAGATTTTATTATAATCATTTTATTTTATTTTATTATTTCACTGGTGTAAAACTGGTCTAAGCGCAGTCAGAACTGTGTCTTGCACAAGAGTTTAAGATGAAATTAAATACTAAAATGGTTAATGAAATGAGAACTGTGACACAGTTGAGAGAAATCAGAAAAGTTGAGGCTAGAAATCTAAATATCATGTAGCACATTGTATCAGAAATGTAGCATCATGTATGTTCCTAAATATTAGGTGATATTTTGTAGATATTGGCACTGCTGAAACACAATGGAAACATTAGTGACAGAGCTTAAGCCTTCGATTTAAATGTTTTGGGTTTTATCAGTTCACATTACAATTTTAACAAAGGTTTGGGACAGTTCTAATTTCATTAACTTGCTTTCTTGTTTCTAAAAGGAAAAAAGAAATGGTTTTGTGAACAGTGATCAAATGTATATTTTGGGTCTGATTTCCCACCGTTTTGCACTGGTGTATGGGCATTGAAATCAATGAAATTACATGACACAAAACTGGATTGACACTGTGGGGAATCAATTCTGTTATGTCCAAGAGACAATAGGCCTGGTTTTGCTCTTGTACTAATTTTATACCAGTGTAATTCTATTGACTTCGATGGAGTTATTCCCGACGTACTCTGATGCAATTGAGATCAGAATCGGGCCCTGTTGTTTTGATTTATTTATGTATTGGTAAATATAAATGTATGCATGTTATGTGTATTGTACATATTTATGTGCATTTAGGCGGTTTAGACATGTTTAGTTACAAATATTTTTATCTGGCTCTGTAAGCTACATTTGGAAATATATCCTATTTTCTCCAAGTAGCTTTTTAGTTTATATAATTTGTTGCTTTTCCCCTTTTCATCAGGTTATTTACTGATACATTTCACTTACGAAGACTGAGGATTCTTCTATTTAATCTTTCAGGTAGTGGCCTTAGGCGATGTCCCTGATGGGACACTGGTCACAGTAATGGCTGGAAATGATGAAAACTACTCTGCAGAGCTCAGAAATGCTACAGCTGCCATGAAAAACCAAGCAGCAAGGTTCAATGACCTCAGATTTGTGGGTAGAAGTGGAAGAGGTACGTATTTGCTCACAGCTATATTTTGACTATGTTTACTACTTGAATCAAGTTTCAATTACTTAGGGACAATTTGAACACAAAATATGTCTAGCTTCGGCACTGGAGAATCCTGCAAGATCTGGCTTGTGCAGACTCTCACAGTACAGAAACTGAGCACACATTTGTATTGTTTTACACAAGCCAATCCTCATTATGATTGACACTTCCTAACAGTGTTCTTATTTAAAAGCATATCCAAAAGACAATCCTGATTGTGCCCTTAGTTACACGGTGCAAGCTCATTAGCTTTACTGAAATCAAGGTGATTTCATTGGTGTAACTAAGGGCTGAACATAGCCCTTACTTCGGATTATATTAATTTGTGAACAGAGCCACAGCTTCAGCTGATGTAAATCGACATGACTTTGTTGTCCAAAGCAATGGCTGATAACTCCACTCCTAAGGGACAATGAAACTTTCTATGGTAAAGATAAAGCTTGTCTGTGCAGGAGTCAATGTTCTGGGGGTGCGTGAGGGGGTGCAGGGTCTTTCCCTCCAGGCTGTGGAATGAGCTCGCTCAGGAGCTCAGGATCATTCCAGACCTCCCCATCTTCTGCTCCAAGTACAACGTGCGCTTCCTTGACCTTGCTTTCTCTAACTTTAACCATATAGCAACATGTGTGTGTATATGTATATATGTATGTGGGGGGAGGGGGTATCTATATAGGTTTTATTTTTTTATATTTTACATATAAATTCCACCACAAAACACTCCACTGCACACACTTCTCCCCCTGGGGAGAGGAGGAGAGAACAAACACATGGCAGATGTTAGTCACATTGCTTAATGTAGGGCACTGAGATGAGCATAGTATAAGAACCTGAATAGACTAGAATGGAAGACTCCACTGGCTGAGGATCTGGTCCTCTGTATCTCTTTGGTGACTTTTAATTCCAAGTAAGAATAAAAAGGTGTCATTGCTATTTGTAACAACTGAGATTTGAAATTGATATAGAATATAATTCCACCCCAAAAGATGCTAAAATCCATAAATTATAGTATTAGCACACACACAGTTAATTCATTAACACATGAACAGATGATATGGGGCCTGATTCAATGGGAAAGACTCCCATTGACTTCAGTGGGCTTTAGTTCAAGCCCATAATCATAGAAAACCCAAATTGTAAACAGCCATGTTTATATAACAAGATAATTTTATGAACTCATCTTACGCTGTTCTCCTAACTCATGTAATTAGTCCCATGAACTGTTCATGTGAATAGGGTCTGTTTGCCTGAGTAAGGATTGCTGGATCAGGCCCATAGCAGAAAAGCTGATGAAAATTTGAAAATACAGCCTTCCAGTTTTAGGGTAAGGCACTAAAAGTACTTCCTATTCAGTATGCTTTCATAAAGTGCTTACAAATATATTGTTCTTCTATTAAGTTCTTATCTTAAAGTGAAGTCAAAACATAAGATTTGGCTGACTACATACAATATTGTCAGTTAAGGTTAGTTCAGTGTTGTAAAATTTATAAACCAAAACTGACATTATCTGATGCATTCAAGTAGGTTAGTTTTACCAGTTGTTTTGAGATCTGTTGTCTCTTTGGAACCAGACAGAGCCCTTTATGGCTTATTGTTCTTCCCCACCCCCATTTTTATTCGTCTGTGTACTCTCTGAGTGACCTAGTCTCCTCTTGATGTGTGTGTGAATAACTCCTATAAACATGAACGGTGTTATAAGCATACTTCAGGAGGATTGCATAGCTGGCCCATTCCTGTTCCTTGCAAAGCTTCATATTACAATGGGAGTGAGATCAGTCTTTTGACTGAAGAAGTTACGCTGATTATAGACAGCAGAATTTATTTGCTTTTGAAATGAAACTCGTATTTTGTAGATTTTTTTCTAATATAAAATCCATGTACAATTTGAGAAAACCATACCCCTTACAGATTTAAAGATGAGACATAAATTCAGAAAGCAAATACATTTTATGTGTAAAATATCCAACCAGGCCTGAAATGTCCTGTAGCTTCATTAGCCTGATATCATTCAAACCTGGTTGTTTGGGTTAGCTTCAGAATCCAATTGGCGGGGGGGGGGGAGACTGCAGTTGAAAATGTAGCTTAGTAATGCTAAGGAAGGATAATAATAGGGTAATGCAGGGATAATTATATCCATTTACTGAAAACATAAGAGATGCTGTAATGTATAAAAGTATCAGTCATTAAACATGTTCATTTGTTATATTAAAGGTTCCACCTTTTCAGTAAATGGTATTTGCATTATGATTCAGAGATGAGTGTTTAGAAAACATTTTGAAGATTCAAATGAATAGCTGGCAAAGTGGTTGAGAAGCTAATAAAAATAGACTTGCAGTTTGGTTCCTGGCCATGCTAATGAAGCTAGAAATCACAACTGTGGTCTGTATGATTTTTCAAGGTCAAAATTTGATAGCTGAGAGAACGCTAATTGTCCAAAAGAAAAACCTTGTAGGGAAGATTTTGGTAACCATTTACTTTGCTAATACCTTTTGGTTGCTAATAACAACAATCATTTATATACAATTAGAAGTTTTATTTAAAAAAATAGTGTGCTTGCTGTGATATCTTAGATTAAAAAAAGGTTATATGGGGACCTTGAATGCTACTAATCAGTCTTGGAGGTTTAATCTCATAAACTCCATTAGCTATCCAAATTTTGAGTGAATGACTAATATATGTTTTTGTTTACTCATATAACACTGAACTGTTTTCCAAAGGTGTGGCTTGTTTGCATTTGGGTGCATGGTTTCTGATGTTATGTTCTGTTGCGTTTGCATAAAGCCTAAATAATAAGGTAGCTGCTGCATCAAAGTGCATTGCTTCTTTTGATTCTTTAGTATAGGAAAATCAAGTAAAACTCTGTTTGCTGTGTAATATTTGAGCTTGGGTAAATTCAGCTCCCAACAGTGGTAATGTGATGCCAATTATACATGAACAACCATTGGAAGTTTGAGTCAGTTATGGTCATTGTGGATACCATTTGTGTGGTTTGAATTACTTGAAATCACTACTCTGATGTAACAAAGAAGGGCTCTACACTGTGACAATTCAAGTTCATGCCTCACTTTCTCTTATGATGTGTCAGTTATCACTGGAGGTTTAAACATCACTGTTAAAAACCTCACAGAAATGTTGACAATCCACTTCTCATTTTCAGAGGATAGAAAATAATCATTCTCACTAATTTTAACAATTACCCTTAATTCTGACCCTCGGCGGTGCTGTAAAAGGAATGTGAGACATTAACTGTAAATATAGGTAACTATAGCTATTGTTTCATGTGTCCTTGTTCAAGACAATAGGTCAGATTCTCACCTATGTAAATTGGCGATGCTCCATTGACTTTAATAGAATTACACTAGTTTACACCACTTGAGGATCTGGGCCTGTGTGCACTTTGATGCACAAGTGTGTGCCAAATAGTGGCTGAAAGATAATCAAATAACTGAGCTATATTTCGATGTTCATTTTACATTTAATAGTGAAGCAACAGGCCTGTATTGCTATTGCTGGGCATGCAGTGTGATGTTCATTATTTAAAAAAAAACACTTGATTTTCTCGATACCAACACAGGAAAGTGAGGGTATCACAGATCTTCAGAAACACCAGGATGTTGTATTTAGGAGACTTGGCTTGCCCTCCAGTACAAAGCAGATTTGCATTGGAATTGGCTGATGTCCAGGATTACTATTCCTCACCCTCAGTTCAGAATGCCACTGGGAAAACCTGCCTGTCTGGCTTGTAGGCCTTAGTAAGTAATTTCTAAAAGAACAATGTAGTTTAAGGCTTAAGAAACTTTAAGCTTCTCTGCCTGACAAGCTGGTAAACATCTTCCTTTATTTTTTTCTCCCAAATTTTCCCTTCATTCATTCATTTTTCAAATGTAATTATTCTGTACCAATGCAAAGTATGTAGCTATCTTAATATAGCTTATTATGATGAAATAAAGCTAACACGAAAAGCCAAATACCACACAGGAAGTTCACTGGCTAAAATTAAAAAGAAATAGTTATTTTAGAGAGGGAAAGTTTCAGGGTCTGGTGGACACTACATTGATTCCACATGGAATCATTTATCCAAATAACTGTCTGCTTTGTAGGTGGCAACATTTTTTTTTATGTTTTCTGGGTGAAAACTACTTTGAATGGGTTAATATATTAGTAATTGATGTGAATGTATCTTGGTTTACCTGCAGAAGCTGTCAATCTTACCTTTAAACATTTTTCTGGAGTTTAATGATTATTATAACTAGTTTTATTGCAAGATCTTTTTACATTTTTTTTAAAGAAATAAAAATGAAATTTGAAAATTCAGCAACTGGCAGGGTCAGAACCACATGAATAATTTGGCAGATAAGAATATGCCATTTTTCATTTCTATGAAACATAAGAAAATGTAAGTCTGTGCCACTGGTTTTCACTTCACTAGCCTATATGAGAACACTTGGAGGATATTACAAGACATAATCAGAGATATTCATTTTAGGTCTCTTTCTTCAAGACATAAATTTGAGGAAGAAAGCTCAGTTTAAACTGGAATGTAGATGACAGAAATGTGCTAACAAGTTACTGGGCCAGATTCTGAGTTCATTTCGTTTTTACTTGCCTTCTAATGGCAGAATTTGACTCATTCTGTGTAGCTTTGTTTTCTGACATATTATTTAAGGGCATTTTTGTTAAACTTTGCTTTTACTAAAAGTTAAACGCATTTAAAATTATTATAGTATTCAGAGTGCAGACTGGAACTCAACAGAGTATAAAAAGCAGTAAAACTTGTCTTAAGCAATTACCTGGGGCCTGATCCAAACTCGCTGGCATTAATGGAAAGACTCCCATTGACTTCAGTTGGTTTTGTATCAGACCCTTGGATAACAATTAATTGGGATTTTAAAATAAAATACTGTGGGGAGGGGAGTCTCTTGAAACAGGAGGTTGCCTGAAAAGGATGGCCTCTTATATAGATTTCA